TCGGAAAAATTGTGATGAAGAGTTTTAAAAAAAAAAATTTCCGATTGAAACTATTTGTAAAAAATTTGAAATAACTATGAGCTTGCCATGTAAAATCAATGCCAACAATATAGATGCAATATAGTGTCAGAAAATCCGGAACATTTTTATAAAATGTCAATATTCATACCATTTTTGAAAATTTTTTTGGATCAATTAAAAATTAAACGATCGAATTTTAGCTCATTGGTTTAGCCTTAATGAACATCCATCGTGACATTAAAATGACTACTGATGACGTGATCAATGAATCGGCAAAATCATCCACAAGAAAACTTAAAATACATTTTTAAATATAACAAAAAATAATTCTTATGTAAAATAATGTTTTGACTGTTTATTTCCCTAAATTAATTTAAAAAATTACCTACATATCATGTTAATTTAATATACCTGTAGTATGTGTACATTATGTTTAATGTTTATATATATATATATATATATATATATTGTATATCCAGGTAGAAGTAATGCAGAAGCAATATCCACCTAGTTCAAGATTTAAACCCATCATAAATAATATATATAAAATAAATTTATGTAACCCCCCTCCCAAAAAAAAAGTAAATAAAATAAAATATCCTGGATACGCCACTGCTTACATGTGACACATACATGGGCGTCCCTAGGGGGGCAAGACGGGGCACTTGCTCCCCTAGAATTTTAAATTTGTTTCTTAATAATGTTCTATAAATAAAACGTATAATAATAATACCTAATTGTAATAAGGACAAAACATGATAATATACTATAAAAAAAAAATATATAAAAAAAAAAAATCTTTAGTTATTTTTTAAATTTATTTTGCCTAGAAAAATGTCTAGGGACGCCCATGGACACATATAACAAAAACCTTACTACCAATTTCTTACGATCAACACTGAACCACGAAAAAATTGTACAAACCCTAACTAACTCCAACATTTATTTACGAAGATAACTCAAAAACAATAAATTTATTTTTCCGTAACATCAATTCTAGTCAAAACTTATAGATAATTTTGTTTCATATTACTTATAAGTTATAATCTTTATGTAATATTAAAATAGGCAAATAACTTCTGATGTTGAACTCTTAACAAAATAATACAAAAATTTATTAAATTGCTTTATATTTCCATTTATAAACACAATATATAATATTATATTTATATAATATGGTATATTATTTACCTTTAGATTTCTCATCTTCGTTGCAAGGTTTAAAATATTATCTGTTCCAAGAATATTTATTTTTGTTGCTGTCTGAAGAGTTTCGTTGAATCTGACTGTTGCGGCACAGTGAAAAACGAAATTCCCATTTTCGATCAACCACTCATGGTCCTCTGATGATAAACCTAGTGAGGTTTGTTCCAAATCTCCATCAATTATTTTTATCTTAGTTAAAAAGTCAGGTTTTTCTTTTCGAAGACAGTCAAAAACCTTAAAAATACACATAACATAACACTTTGAATAGATTACAACAATTAATTTACAATTAGAATAACTAGCTACCAGAAGAACTATTATAATAATTATGGGTATACCCTTAAAATAAAATATATATATATATTTTTTTTTTTTAGGCAAAATAAAGTTTGTTCTAAAGTTTATACATTATTGTTAGATAAATAAATTACTAATACCAAAGTATATACATAATGAAATATTTTTTTAAAATATAGGCTGTTTTTATTAACAGTTTTTTTTTTTTATGTAGAATTTATATCTCAATGAGAAATTAAATATATAATTTTATTATAAATTGAATTATTGTAAATGAATAAATGAAATTAATAGAATATCATGAAAACAATATCGTGTAAAATTTTAAGAGAATTATAAACTCTATGTAAAAAAATTATGAAAATTTAAAAACTTAATGTCATTAACATAAATTGTTTCAAAAAAGATTCAACATTTTTAACAAATGCATTTTTTTAAATAATAGTTTAAATACTAAAATTTTCACAAGAAATATATTTTAGTAGTTTTAAACATAGTATGGTTTTTATAATTTTTGTAAACGCATGTACAATGTAGCTTTAAATAGACAAGTATTAATTTTTTTAGTTCTCTAAATAGTAATTTTTTTTTTTTTTTTTAATATTGCAGTAAGTTGAACTTATTTTTGTATAAACAAATCGCAGATTTCATATAATAAATATCATATTATTTTGTATTTTTATGTAATATTACTAATTAATAATAATTAATATTTTTATCGCAAAAATTAATAACTAACATTAATAAGTATATGAAGATAATATTAGTCTAGGGTAATTGATAAAATATTACAATATGCATTATTATTGTACGTACAATTTAGAAAAAAATTTATATCAATAAGCTTAATTAAATATAATTGGCGATGAAGTATTAGTAATATAATTAGTACTATATTTTAAAATCATCCATTTCCTAGTTGTAATTAAGGTCATTCTGTAATGATCAATAAAAAGGAAATCTACTTTGTAACATGATTTCGAACGATTGTAAATGGTATTTGAAATTACTCAAAATTGTTAATAACATACAATTTTTATATTCTCACTTTCATAATATATTCATGTCTAGTAGAACATATTATACAATTGATGGTTTTATATTTGTTCGTTTAATAGTCAATTACATTGTATGATGATAATTTTATATAGATTTTGTTTAACTAGATATTGTCAGTAAAACGTTTTTAAAACAATATAATATTAAATTTAAAAATACCAATATATATAGTAATTTATTTTTTAATTTTAACTGTTAACCTTTTTAAAATACTATACTTTTTTCGTATTAAAAGTTTAAAATAATAAATAAATAATAATAATTTTTGAAATGTTCTGATTAGTTTTTTCTTAACACATATTAGTTATTAATTTTTTATATATAATTTTATGAGCTTTTAATTTCTAGAAAATGTACACACAAAGTAAAAAAAAATTTAAAAAATAAATAAACAATAAAATATAATATAAAAAACATTACATTATAATTCATTAGTAATATTATTAGTTTTATTTTTGATATTAATTTTTTAGTTATTCGCAATGATGACTGGCATAAATGATCATTAAATGTAGTTATATTCGTATGATGAATTATTTAAAAATGAATGGACCAATTATGTATTACTTAATCATGATTAAAGTCTATTAGCTTACTTCAAAGTTCAAATAATTAATGTTTAATATTGGTTTATGCAATTTAGCATCAGTGCCTTAATACATTAAATAATAAGAATTTATGTGGTTTGTATAATTGTAAACTATATTTATCAATGTAATTTTTGATAATTTATGATATAAATGAATTATTTATAATACGCAATCAAATAATAAATACAATTGATTACAAACATATCCTAGAACTTAATTTATTGTATTATAAGACAACCGATAAAAAAATAAACTTACTGATTCATTATATATATCTGCAGCTCTTCGACATGAACTAAGTCCTTTCTTACTTCTCACAAGAATTGCAACTTTTTTCAATGAACAAGATCTGAACAATTTCTCAACAAGTAATTTTCCCAAAAACCCTGTACTTCCAGTTACGAAAATTGTTCCATCCCTAAATGTTTCGGCTATATTCATGTCCATATTATTTAGATATGTTGTATAACACGTGCGAACTTTTCAACTGTGAAGTCAAATGGATTTGATCTTGAACTGGATTGAAAACCTCCATGGTATCAAACATAATAGTTATACGTAAAATTTATATCGGTATTTTGTAAGTTGGAGGGAGTAATTGTTTATGCTATACATAAATGTAAATTATATTATGTAATACATTAAAATGAACCGTTATATAGTGGTACAGTAGGTTTGAGCGTACTTTGTTGGCTACAACACGTTTGAGAATTTTATCCCAAATTGCGACACGTTTGGGCACAAAATCACAACACGTTTGGACGACACTATTTTATTCTGATATTACAACACGTTTGGGCACTATAGTTTTTAGGTACTCTATGTATATAGCATGTATAAAACATAAATATAAACTGTATAATTGTATATACCTTTAATCGAACACGACGGTAGTGGCCCGTTTCACATGGATGCGTATCGTACACGACGTGTCATACACGCGCGTTTTTAGTTTACATTGATTAAGTTCATACGCGCCATATCGGCGGCGAGCAGAACGCGCGACCCTCGGAGTGGCGCGTATGAACTTAATCAATGTAAACTAAAAACGTCATATTTTTATCAATTATATACAATCCACATATACAGTGGTCGCCGCTTAATGTAATCACTTTGGTGAGGGACATAACTGATAACATAATCCAATTGATAACATTAAACGAAAGTAGTAACTTAAAAGGAAATTTTTGATTGATAATTGGAATGCTTATGACAAAGGAGACGTGACACTAATTGAATATTTAAAAATTATGGGAATTCGTTAACAAGGAAATATAATATAAATATTATAATTACATAATATATTACTTTTTTTGTATCTATAAAAAAATACTAAAACTTGTTACCTTCATTATTTTGATTAATATAATATTACTATTTTTATTTAACACGAGTAGAGATAACTTACGTATTTTATCACTTTTTTGTAGCTACATTATTATTTATTTTATTTGTACTTATTTTATTTTATTTTTTTACAAAATAAATAGTAACTAACACTTCATAAAACTTGTTACCTATATTATTTTGATATATATGAATATATAATATATTATACATGTATGTACATATTTTATAAACTTCTTAAACAAAAGTATATACATTTTACATTTTAGTGCCCAAACGTGGTATCTTTTTAGGGATATACTCGTAGAGAGCCCAAACGTTGTGTGGATTTTGAAAACTAAACAGGTAAAAATTCCTAAACGTGCTGCACCGACTTTGTTATTGATAGGTTTCTTTAATGGATGTACCTATCCATTTAAATTTAATAAAAAACTGTAAAATTACAAAACCACAAAAAAAAAATCGTAAGAACAAAACAATATAGAATATTAAAAATAATCTGTGATTTCAAACCCTTATAAACATTTTCTTTTATTTTTATAAAGTTATTTTACTTTGAGATCGCTCATAAACCGTACAAATGGATTTTACATTAATGCATTTTGTCAATATTGCACGCTAGTCCAATAAGTTAATCTAAATAAACTAAAAATAATATTATTTTTAATAAATATATTATTTTTTTTATATATTATAAAATGTTTTGCAAGCAAATAACCGATACAATTTGTTTATAATACAATATAAATTTACTTACCTCTTGACTCCTTTGAACAAAGCTTGCATTAGTGATGAAAAGTTCTTAAATTAAAATAAAATACTCACAATAAGATTATTATAAAATGTTTAATTACTTACTGATTTAATAAAAAAAAATTTAACATAATTATATAAATATTAGAGTAACAATAAACAATTTTAAAAACAAACTATTTATATTTGTAAAATATTTATACATCTTAAAGAATCTTTTTTTTTTTTAATTAAGTACTATAAAATGATAATACGAGTTAAAATTATTAATAGTTAATGTTACATTGCATAGATATTATAATAGTTATGCTAAATATACTTTTATAACGTTAAAGGTACGTTAGTATTATTTTTACGCTAAGTGGTTAGTCAAATGTCACATGTTGGTATGTTCCAATTATTTGTATACACTAGTAATAGGTAATACATTTTTTTTTTTTTTGTATAATCATTTAAAATTATCAAAATTAAAATCTTTAAAACTGGTATTATGTAATATAATAACCGGTTAATTTTAAAATGCGTTTAACCCTGCGTTACTACTCTGGGTCTAATAGACCAAGTTGTAAATACAATTCTTAATTTTCTTATGCTGACTACACTTATTTGATTTATTTAAACCAAGATGATTATGTTTTTAAAATTAAATTTATTTTTTTGTACAACCTAACACAAAATTACAGCATCTTAAATACAATTTTTTTAAACAGTGACATTTAGGATAAATAATCTATCCATAAATTAATAAAAAAAAATACTGGTCAAAGTAAGTATTGTTAATTGAAGTACTTTATGATTCATTTTTAACAATAAATTAAAGAAAATTATTAATTTTGACCATTATTGATCTATCAGAAAGATAAAGATAAATTATATATTTGTTGTACCGAATACAATGGTAAAAATATGCAAGCTGATAAAAATAATATTTTTTTTGAATTATTTACAACAAATAAATAAAATATTTTTTTAGTATAAAAGCAATTTCATCGAAATCTTAATTTAAAGAATATAAAAAAAAAACTATATAAGAAAAACTCTAGAAAACAATTTTTAAACTATTTTACTGACAAACAAAAATGTTATCATTTAAAAATTTAAAAATTCTAGTTTATATAAGAAAAACAGAAAACATTATTTTACGTTAATAACTTAGATAAGTTTCAAATCTACAATAATCAAACATTATCTTTTTTTTTTTTTTAAATCAAATTATTAAAAGATAAATGATTAGCGTTTAAGCCATTTTTTTATGAAAAAATTGTACAATTACGGCAAGTATAATATATTTTTGTATACATTGTCCCATGATTATGATAAGGATTTATGTTTAACGTGGAAATAAAAAAAAAAATTTAATTAGTAAAAATCTGTTCAATGGTACATCTATTATCTTAAAAATTAATAACTGTTATTATAAATTAATATATTGGTTTTAAAATATTTTACGAGTACTAAAGCAAATATTTAACCATTTCTACTTTCTAGTCCAATTATACAGCACATTAAATCAATAAAATACTAGCAAACGCCAAATTCCATGCATTAAATGTAGTTAGTTTAAGATGTTTAAAGTCAAAATTATATCGTTAAATGTCAGATATTTTGAGACGAGTCAATAGTTTCAATGTAATAAATTATAATAAACGAAATGTAAAATTAAAAGAAATTATTGAAAGATACATGAACCCAAAAAAAATTTCATTGGTAATGCAGTAAGTTTGTTTATTTTAGTACAAGTTACAAATCTTTTTAAACCTAACGTATTATCTAACATAAAAAAAAGTTAACTGTCTTGCAAACTGCACTACAACTACAGCTATATAAGTATAATAATAAATTCATACCGATGATCCAGATAACATTGAAGTTTATCGCGGAACCAATCGACAATTGAAGCATATTGTTTAGTAACAAAAAAGTAGAAGTCATATCCGTTAAATTACGTAATTGTAGGGTTTTTCCGTATTTAAATGGCCTTAAAATTTGATATGCATTTTAAACTACAGTATTCATGTCTATAAAATACATATGACTATATAATGAGATTTTTATTTAGTCTAAATGGTCAGCTCTTTCTAATTAGGTACTGTCTCCGTTTGTTTTCGGAAGAAATTTGAGTTCGTCTAAGCAATCTATTGAAATTGAAAATAACCCGTTTCCATCGATTAAATTTTCTGCCAAATCATAAACTGCCGGATTCTCTTTTTCACCAAAATCATACATTTTAATTTTCCATTGTATTGAAATAAAAATAAAATTAATTATTGAACGCTACATAAACCTAATCAACTAATCAAATGGTGATAAAACATTTTATTCTACTACATTTTTACCAAGCACAACATAATCACGAAACGTACATCATCCATTCATTCGGCTCCACCATTTGCAATTTTCAAAAATGTTCTACACCGATATTTAGTATGTAATTAATATACATTTATAAGACAATTTGCATTAATTTCACAAACTTTATGTTACTGTTATTGTAACAAAACAGTGAATAGAGTAGGAGTGATATGATATAATTATATATCTCTAGGTTTCAGTATAATACTTCATTTGTAGAACCATTTTCGTTTTACAAAATATACCAGTAAAATTTACTTGCATGGGATTATAAAAAACAATAAATTAATAAATGAGAAAAAAGTAACTAGAACGAAACTTTAATCTCTATATTGAATCAATCAACAGAAAAAATAAGTGTAAAAAATATACAATCAAATTTTTTTTATAAATACATTTTTACTATAATTATGAAAATTTATATTTTTGTAGTTAAAAACTAATATAATATCATCCTTTTTTAGCTCGTACATCTCAAAAAATTAAATAGTCTATAAATAAAATGTAAACATTATTTTTATACATCTAATATAATTAATAAATACATATCTATTATTTTTTTATAATTATAACCTATAAGAAGGGCTAGGATTTTACTGATCTAAAAAACTTTAAAAAATTTAGCTATAATCTAAAAAATGATTCAATAAGAAAAAATTACCTTAAAAAATGCGCGAAAAAAATAATTATATTAATAAATTAATAAATTAATAAATAATAATTTATATTTATAAGTATATAAATAAATTCATCTTCTGGTATAATGTCCAGCGTCATTTGTTCTGAAATTAATATATTTTGAAATAAAACAATATTGTAAAACTAAAATTTAAATTTAAACTTAACTTAAATTTAATAATAAATTGATGAAAATAATACGTAATTGAACATTATTATTGGCTATTGCTCGGTTAGTCCAATGAGTATATTTTATATTTTACAAACGATTGGTATTTTTAAATATTAAATATTTTTAGAAAATATGTTTACGATTTTCTTTAAATGTTGTATCTTAATATGTTTGTACAATAATTTATTACGACCAATTAAAAAATCTATTTAAAAATGTATAAAAATATTATCCAGATTTTAATAAAGTATAAAAAATGCTAAAAA